GGCATTTACCTCGTGCAAATGTGTTTGCCTGTAAATAAAACCGGGCGGATCCCAGGACCCAAGTAACTTCTTCCTGCGTCTCTCCGTTTCCGTTTCCCCTCACACACACACACAGACATGCAGACACACCCACACACACAGACATGCAGACACGCAGTGCCAATAAAAGTTTGTCATAATGCATTTGTCGAACTTCAGACAGCGCCCGAGGGCCACTAATTTGGTCCTGGCCATTGTTGATTATGTGCCAGCTGTAATGATCTGACCATTTGCGGAGTTATGGTTACGCATGTTGCACATAAGACGTACATAAGTCAATTAAGGGGCATTCGTGTTCACTCGGGCGAAATAATTAGTTATGTTCATAGTTAGCACTGCAATTGAATTCTAGTGCGCAGCGAAGATTGCCAATTAATTTGGCCACCTAAATTCAATTTGACCTGTTGATAGGGACAACTTGTCTCGGTGTGTTGATTTACTGATGTACCATATATATATACATGTGTATATACGAGTATGCAGAACAGGTTTTTCTCCTAATGAGCAGGCATAAATCAGAGAAACCCAAACGGGTTCGCCCATCTGATAATCACCAAATCATATTCAGGCAAGGGATTCTTATCGTCTTTTTTTTGTTTGCTGCTTTGTTGCTGTTCTCGTTGTCTGGGGGATACAGTAGGTTTCCAGGAAGTAACCGAATCGCCCAGAAAGGAGAGCGTGTTTGCTCCCGAGTCCCTGAGACAACATGAGACACTTTTGCGAACACAACACCGCTGGCAAAGAAGACAAGCTGCAGAAAAGCAACAACCGAGCAGGGCGAAGGAAGAAGAGTTATTTTGCATGGAAAGTATCGCATATCAGCATCAGCAGACGACAAGGACGAGGATAGCGAGCCAGGACGAAAGTCGCCGCCCGAGCGCCGCATTTTCCTGGGCTTCCCATGCGCATATCGCCATTGTCCCTGTGCTGCAAGACGCATTTATTAAAGATTTACCAGTGGCAACTCGCAGACAAACAACCAGGAACACAACATTCGGTGCGCCTTTTGGCATTTGAGCAGCTCGCATATTTCAGGCGATATTTCCTTTGTTTCATTGCTTGCCACCCATCGCTGCTGGCTACGCAATTTCATTTGCATGGGGTGAAGAGGTGGGAAAATAGGGGCAGGCTGCCAGGCTGGCAGGTTGGGAAAACTTTTGCAGTTATGTCCGCAACAGGAAGGAGCACATCGAGCAAATGCTTTAAGTATGCTTACCATTTTGTATTTGGCTGCATTCTGCATTCAGCAAACTGCAACTGCAAACGGCAAACTGCATCCTGAATCCTGAATCCTGCATTTGCCTGTCGCTGACGCACGTACGAAGGACACCGGGGAGCCAAGCCAGCGAGCAGCCGAGCAGCCGAGCACAAGGACGACACACGTCACGGCAAAAGTTAAAAGTTTGCCATCAATGTTTGCATTTCAAGTTTCACTCCTGGCTGGCAGTTCATTTTGCGCTGCGCACAGACGTCCTTGACAGGATGACAGGGATCCTGGATTGCGGCCCAGCTGCACTGGCTGCTTCCGCACTTTTGTGCACTACTTTAAATGAAAATTTAATTTCCCTCCTATGCGTTCGCTTTAAGCACAGCTAATGAAAATGCCGAGTGGCTGTCTTAAAGCCCAGGAAAATGATTTGAGCCCGCAAAACTTTTCGCACAGCTCAAAGACGAGCAGCAGGTGCGCTTATAAATAAAAGTTTCTCAAGATTATAGGCAAAGTCTGCTTTGCAGCGCAATATTAATAATAAAGTGGGCGTGATCCAAGTCTAAATAAAAGTTTATCATACTCGTATAAAATTGGGTTAGATCTATTATAGGTAAACTTGCTGCATTATTAATAGTTCAAATTAAAAGAAAACGAAATGAACTTTTTGGTTTGGTTTCCAGCCTACCAGCTCAATAAAATCGTTTGGCCAAATTCCAAGTGAATCAGTTTAGCTCAATCCTTTCCAACGCCCACCCAACCCAATCAGTCATTCATTCAAATCGAGCCCAACAGATTTGGCCTTTCAGTAAAAAATCAATTGAGCTTTGACCACAAACTGAACCGAGTAAAGTCTTTGAACCCCGAAATGCCAGCTTGCCCTGCTGTTTGCCGTTTTTCTAGTCCCGAACTTCAAAACTCCGGCAAGTTGGCAAATTAGATGAATCTCTGGGAGAATGAACAAGCCCCAAGTGTGGCGGCAAAGTTAGTTGATGTTGCAGCCAGCGAAACTTCAATTCCCCGATCAGGTGCGGACCCATTTTGGTTGTCCTGGGACATGGGGATGAGGTTGGGGTCCGGATCCTTGAGTTGGCCCATCTCTCTTCTCTCTGGGGTGTTTGCCAACTTGTTTAGCCGTTGTTTGTTGTACGTGTTGTCGTGGTGTTGTACGCACGTAAACGATGCCAAGTCGAGTATTTATTACGCTCACAACTTGACATAATTCCCTTTTTCTTTGGGGGACTGCGGAAGTGGGTGGCTGACTGATTCTGACTGAGCTGATGCAGCACTTGAACTAATGCCATCGATATAGATTTATAACCCCGTTGTCACGTGTGTGCGCGAGTTCGTTCAATTGCCTGCACCATCAACAGTATCATCATTATCATCCGTATCACCATTATCATCATTTTCATCATCATCAGGATCAGGAGAGGCGGGAAAGTACATTGGAGTCGACAGGACTGCCACCAAGTTGGGCGGAAAAGAACAAGTTGGGACTTAACAACTTCATCAGCTGGCGGCGCACTTAGTTTGGCTGACAGCCTATATATAAGCGAGTATATATCTTTGTATGTGCTCACAATACGATTTCTTAGCGCATTAAGCGGCAGTATCAACGGGAGCGGGGAAAAACAACAAATAAATGCCATTAGCAGCCAACAAACTGTAAGCCAAAATGGCGCCACCAACGCGAAAATAATACGGAAAATGCGGCGTTAATGGCAACGATGATTGAAGGGCGGGGCGGAGAGTCGGAAAACCCGGGAAACCCAGTTAAGAATGAGACAGAGGGCACCCATGTGAAGGCAAACGATGTTATGATTATGATTATTATGTTGCTATTAGATTAAGAGCAATTTTAACTTTTTCCGCTCGCTCACAAAGGCCTTCCGCTCGCCCTTTTCCAGCACTCATTTTCCCCCGCAGCCGCGCCCCATTTTCCGATCCTTACATTCTTTTTTCGTGCGTCAACGCTTTCCGTTTGGCTTTGGCTTACGACACTTGAGGCCCAAGTCCCTCCTTTAATCGCCACCCCTCCCCCAGCCGTGTAACTTCCAACTTTGGCACTCCCCGCCGGACAGAGTTACTCCTTCATTGTTTCTGGCCCGGGTCTTAGCCACGCTTAATTGGTTGGCTTTTATTACTTGGCAAGTGCTGCAAGCGCATAATTTGCGACGACGCAGAACAGTGGGCCAACTCGAAGATTAGGCAAATTTCATGGATGGCTTAACGAAGCAGTTCTTGGGTTTCTCGGCAGATCTATTAATTGGGATAAGACGCTACGCCAGACGCTCGACAGAAAGTAATGGTCTATTTATCTTATTTATTTACGCGGAAATTGTGCACTGAAGTGCACTGAGTTGATTAAAACTTTTGAAATATTTCATATAGGGAAATTAATTTCATTGCAATAAAATTCCTAACTTACATAAAGGTAATGGTTTTAATATCATGCATATTTCTGGAAATGCTTCCACCAGGTAATCTACAAACATTTACTTAACATTTCTTGTAGATATTCTCTATTAGTCTGGGCTCTTTTGCTTTTTATTTGCCTCCATACTTTCTGTGCTCGGCTGCCTGTACAGAGAAATCTTTTTTTAATTAAATAAGCATCCGTGGATTAGGTAGTTGGTGGAGGGGGCATCAGAGGCACCGGCACCGGCAGCGGTATCGGAGTCATGCTGGCTGCCTCACTTCGCACCTTCACATAGTCTGCAGCATGGCCACGCCCCCAAGCGCCCCCCCACCCATTTTACCACCCACCGACAGGGGGCGCGCGTGCCTTTGGTAGTTTGCGGCGCCATTTTAGCGCGAAATGAATTTAAATTGTTTGCCGGCGTTTCCTGCATTAAGGGCAGCTTCCTTTCGAAGACCCTGCTGCTCTTGGCCCTTTTCTTCTCTTTCGGCGTAGAAGTAGAAAAACGAAATTACTTAATTACAACAATTATTATATGGAACGGCTCTAAAAACTTCAAAGTGGGGGGATGGGGTTTCCTGTGGGCGACCTGCTGTTGCTGCCGCTGTTGTCTGTTAATTTAATTAAACATTTTCACACCTTCCGACTGATACATTGGACCATATAAAAGCCATTTGGTGCCTTTGTCTTGGAATTTTAGGTGTTAATTTCCTGTTCCGTGGATGCAAAAAACAACAAGTGCAGCGAGTCGGCTCTAATAAAAATAATTGCCATGGACAGACTGGCAGCAGCAGCAGCAGCAGCAGCAGCAGCAGCAGTGGAAAATTACAAGACACGAAGGACCTCGGCTCGGAGTTTTATGCCATGGAAAATTGCATGCGAAATAATTGAAAAGCATCGACTGCAGCCTTGTCCTGCTCCTTGCTGCTCCTTGGGTCCTTTGGGTAGATAAAGTTTCCTCGCAGCACCGAAATAATAGCACCAAAAGTGGTTGTAAATATTTTGTGCCCCCCATTCGCCACTAGCTATACGCCAGCAGATTCTCAGCCCGCAGCGTGACAAAATGCTGCGAAAAGTCATTTTTCAGCTAAATGAATTTGCGCCAACTGCGCAAAAAAGAACGCCCAAAAAAGTGGCGCTTAACTGCAAATGGGGGCTTCCGAGGGGCAAAGAGACCCAAGGCAATGGATTGCCACTGGTCCTCCTAGTTGTCCTGGTCGTCGCCATCCAGTTTCCTGTGGGTCGGCGGGTCAGCGGCAAGTTCAATGGGCAACTAATGAGGCGACCTTAAGATTGCTTTTCACTACTAACTTCCCAAACTTTCCATTGCAGGTCCTCCAGGTCCGCCCGGTCCACCAGGAAAACGAGGGAAGCGCGGCAAGAAGGGAGATAGTGGCGAAAAGGGCGATCCGGTAAGTAGCAGTTGAAAACAGGAAGTGGAGTCCATGTGCTCACGGAACTTCCAATTGCAAGTTTATACTCGATTCCCAACCTGTCAAACAAATTGTGCACGACTAAAAATGGATTCCGATCTTTGGATATTCGTTCTTCATGCTGAAACTCCTTCGCGCCAATTTGTTCGTCATATACAAGTTTGTTTAAATACAAGTTCGCGTACAGAAATCCGAAACCGTGGAAACGCAAAGTTTCTATTTTTCGTAGACTTGTTCTGTGCACTGCTTAATTTTAAAGCCAGTTCGACTCGGCTATTGATCCTAATCAAAAATATATATACTTTATATCATCATTTTTTGAACATCATAACATCGGACCTAAGAGCACAATAATCGAAACACTTAAAAGTCTTAGGAAATAATTTGTATCTGCCTCCAAAAAGCCTGAACTAAAAACACTGAACCTCCTCTAATGAAGAGAATTAAGTTGCAATCCCTTACATTCAAGTGTGTATCAGTAGAGCCTGGAGATGGAACTATAAGTTAAGCTAACATGGCCTATTTCTCGTTATCCAGGGCCTGAATGGCATCAGCGGGGAAAAGGGCGCGGCGGGCAAGCCCGGGGACAAGGGTCAGAAGGGCGATGTCGGCCACCCCGGCATGGATGTCTTCCAAACCGTGAAGGTAAGTAGGAGTCGCAGCTCCACTTCCACTGCCAGATCTCGAAATCCGCTAAGGCTGCTGCAATTCCTGGCTACAAATTAAATAGAGTCTAACCGGATCTAAATTGCTTTGCATTCCTAGGGTCTGAAGAGATCGGTGACAACGCTGCATGGCGGCACGCTGGGCTATGCGGAAATAGTTGCTGTTAAGGTATTGCCACCACCCATATTCACTCATCAAGCAAAACTCTTTGCCACTTGGGCGCCCCTTTCTTCGTTATACTCTAGACGTTGGCATGGTCAAGACCATTTTTCAGGGGCCAAATGCAGATGGCCAAGAGATGGCAGCCCGTAGCACACAACAAATTATTTGCAACTTGTTGTCCTTGGCTGAGTCGCTCGGTCTCTGGATTTGTCCTTCTGGTCCAGTCATCGTAGTCCTTTCGTCCTTTCGTCCTTTTACTTAGTTGTGTAGTTGTGTTTATTGTCTCGCTTCATTCTCGTTTGTAATGCTTTTAAGTTGTCTCCTGTCTGTTGTCCTGTTGTGCTGCTGCCTTGGCTCTTTTGTTTAAACTGCGCCATAAATTCGTTGCAACATCGTAGTTTGGTAGACTCTCCCTTCCCTCCCTTCCCTCCCTTCCCTTTTCATTTCTTTTGGTAGCGGCAACTTTTCGGACAGATCCCTTGGTAGTTTTTAATGGAATTTCCATCCTATTTGTTTCGTAGCTTTGAGTTACCCTTTAAGAACATTACATTTGGATTATTTGCTTTTAATTTGGCTAATCTAGCTTTTGCAGCAGCTGAAACTAACCTTATTTGATGATTTATTAACCATTGTTTTTAAACAACCCATTTGGTTTTTTAATATATTTTTATGTTTACATTAAAACTTGTTGTTTTGGTTGGTATGGTTGACGCTGTAAGGACTTGCAAGAAGCAGGCGTCAATGTATCCGCTTCCACAGTCATACAGCTGAAGGTAAGTTGTCTCGCACCTCCTTTGTTCCAGCATGTCCTATGTTTAGTTTATATCCTGCACGTGCCCCACACTCGGTCACCTCGACGGGAGATCCTGAGCTAATAAACATGTTTCCTCGTCCTCACAGGGAGAGCCCGGCGAGCCGGGTCCGCCAGGACCTCCGGGCGAAGCTGGCCAGCCGGGTGTGCCGGGCGAGCGAGGACCACCGGGCGAAACCGGAGCGCAAGGACCGCAAGGCGAAGCTGGACAGCCAGGAGTCGCAGGACCGCCCGGCGTGGCCGGTGCACCTGGCACGAAGGTGAGTTTTTGCCGGTGATTCACCGAAAATGACGCAGAGGAGAGAAAAGAGGAAAACCGAAACAAAAGGCGCAGATAAGGACTCACACACCCATAACAATAACGAGATACCGGGGAGGAAGATGTCACCAGGATTAATGCATTATTTGTATCTGTTGGATAAACACGGCGACGGCTTAAGTGACGGCCAGTGATTCGCTGTCATCCTGCCGGGTCGGGTCGTCCTCTTTTGTTCTCTCGACTTTCCCATTTTCTTGATGTCGTTATGTTGGGTGCGGGTCTCGGTTTTTCCGCAGTATTTATCGTTTATTTATGCATTAAGGCTGTCTGACTCTCGGCTTTCCACTTAATTTCCACAATGACTCACTCACCCTCTGGCTGACTTCTTTCCAGGGCGACAAGGGCGATCGAGGCGATCGTGGACTAACCACAACCATCAAGGGTGACGAGTTCCCCACTGGCATCATCGAGGGTCCGCCGGGACCAGCGGGACCACCTGGTAAGTGCCAGCTGATGGCTCGTGTGTTTGTTTGTGCTTGCATCATCCAACAGCCACTTAACGCATTCGGATACACAGATTTAGATACAAAGATACTTGCACAGCTTGCGCATCGATCGATGGATCGTTCGATGACTTTGTTTTTCAAGTGTGGCCACGCGGCTGCGGGTCGCCTAATTTATTGTCATCCGCAACTGGGAAATGCTCTCACAGCTCACAGCTCACGGCATGGTCACATGGAACATGGATGATACGAGTATTGTCCCAATGCCCCCATCCTCGATTAATTGAGTCATTGAGTGGCGGGGTGTCCCATTAGTTGTGCCTTTAGTTTTGGTCGGCTCGCTTAAATGGAAATCAGCGCAGCATCGCTCGCTTTTCACACATTTTCCCCGGCTTTTTATGACCTCACACATATTTTAAATATTTTATTCAATGCCTCTGCCATATTTGGAAATTTTCAAATTTCATTTTCCACTGCTGCATTTCGCTATAACTTTTACGACCTTTGTTGTTCGCCCAGTTCGGACTTCAACGTCAATTAAATGCGCATAGAAATGTTGGGAGTTGGGCATTCCGCCCACCACAACAATGGAATTTCCATTCGGCTCGGTTTTATGATCCGGCCCCAACACATTTCTGCACTTTATCGAATTTAATTCACGAAAATAGCCCCAAAAACATGACGTTCCAAATAGTTGAAACGAGCGGGAATCAAATACAAATCTAGTGATTCTCGTAAAAATTTGTAGCCCCCGAGAACTTGTGGCACTGGCCGCAGTCGTAAAGATGCAACTTTATGTCATTTATGTTGCTTTTAGCGGCTCATTAGCATGACTACCATCGAGTTGGAGTTCAACAATATGGGATTGGATGCTATGGAGTGGTCTGGATTGGGCTGGGACTGGGCTGGTTAGTTCCCGACCTCAGTGGGACAGCTTGTACTATTGTTTTACTAGGGGCACTCAGTGGACCCAATAAATAAGCAATCGTACGAACTCAGACTGATGGATATGGTAGGTGGATTGATGGCCCATAAAATTGCTGTCCGGATGACACTGGAAATTTCTTTAACCAATTGATGGATTGCGGATTGATGGTGTTGATGATCCGTCGCTGAGGTTTTATTGGGCGAGTATAATTTTAATTCAATTTTGGTTCTGGTATTCTCTCTTTTATGACACGAAATTACGCCCACTTCAAATTACGCTTAACACAACATTGAATGTCCATTAACCAGATTGCCTTTAGAATCCAGTAATAAAGTCTTTATTTAATTTATTTTAAATTACATACAACTATTTTATGTCTCGCACTGCTCTGTGGATTATCCGTGGAGCTATATCTATTGGGGATAATGGTTTAGTTACCCCGATATACAAGAACTTTAAATTAATTATTCATACCAAATGGGTTTAAAATGCCTTTAAGCACGTTGTTAAATTAGTAATTTTTAAATATATTGCAATAAAATAGAAAAGGTTTATTATTATTATTATGGAAGCTATTATTTTTGAAGATATTGACGGTTCCCGTGATTGAGTACCCCTAGTGAGACTTAGAGCGTTCGTAGGCCAGCAAGCAACGCCATCAATTAAGCGCTTTGCTGCGGTTTGAGCAGCCCGCATCATTACGAGTGCCCACGCCCATCCCCCCAACCGCCCAACCGCCCATCCGCCCTCAGCTGCCCCTCCGTCCCTCAGTCCCTCGAACTTATCAGTGGCTGGCATCAAAGTGCTTCGATGTCGCAGTGGCATTCGATGTGATTGCAATGACGATGCTCGTGTTGCAGGCCCATTGTTTCTGGAGTTCTTGCTGGAAGATCTGATGCAGCGATATCTGTCGGCAGTAGCAGATGCAGATGCAGAGGCAGATGCAGCTTCAGCTGCATTCGATTACTTCCGCCGAGCTGTAGGCTCGAACTCCGTCCACTTTTCCCTGGTGCGTTGATGGACACGAAATTGCAATTTATTTTTCCCCAAATTCGGCGACAAGGGCCGGGATGGCTACCCAGGGGACACTACTTCGGCTTGATTTGAATAAATGGAACGTCATTTGTTTCCGGGATTCCCAGCGTCTGGTCTCGACGGCTTGACTTGGGTTGGCTTGACTGCTGGGCTTATCTTATCGGGTCCGTAATTAGTTAAGCTTTCTTTGTGTGTGGACTTGGCAGCCCAGAGCAATTGGATGTGTCGCTTTCAGGCGGAAAATGCCGGTCCATCTCGTCTCGGAAAATCTCAGTGCGAGCAGCAAAGATTGCTGGCTGGCTGGCTGGCTGGATGGCAGAAAACAAAAGCAATAGCCCCAGCTGTAATATCAAAAAATTCAATTTATTTCATGATTTATTTGAATTTCATTTCATTTGGTTTTTTGCTTGATTGCATTGCGTCTTCGGGCAGCTTCCGTTCTATGAAATTAAAACCTATCTCGGGCATTTCATCTGCCAGCAAACAAAATAAACACTAAGCCGTCCGACCGGCAATCCAATATCCTGGACACTATAAATCCAAACTTCAGCTAGGATCCTGACTGCTCCTGGCTGGCTATGGCCTGTGTATATAGTTTTTATAATGTTTGTTGCAATTGTCGACTAAAATGCTTAACGTTGAATTATGCATGCATAAATAGAAAACTTCAGGCCAGACAATGGGGCTTGCGGACAAATGCTTTATAAACAAATGGGAGGCGACATCGGAGGATCTCTCTGTGGCTGGCAGGACCGGTAAATTTATGCTCTTCGCAGGACGAGGTCCTCTTGCGTTGAACGCAATTTTGCGAACTTAATAAATTCACTATATCTTTCATGCCCTCGCCCATTTTGACAAGCCGCACAATTGGATTTATCTACGATATGAGCCCTCTTCCCTTCCCCGTTCGCTGTGCAAATGGTCTGGTTTAATGGCCATGCCAAACAAACCAAAAAAAAGGCAATTTCTCATTATTCTAACTAAACAGGTTGGTCGTCGACCGCACACTGGGCCAAAGTTCACAATATCGCCATCGGAGCGTTAAATTCTCAGGACGGGGTCTTTGATGAGCGCAAATTGGATTTGTTGCCAGCCGGAGCTGGGGTATTTGCTCCAGATACACAGATCCAATTCCTGCCCTACTTCAACGGAGAATGCGAGTCCTTGGCGGTGGAATAAAAAATGTCTGCTGCTGCAGCTGCCAGCAAAAGTGCAGCTTATGCATATTAAATTGTTATTCTGCATCTGTTTGCATTCCGATTTCAATTGCATTGGAGTGACGTCGAAGGGAAAGGTATGGCAATGATATACATATATACGAGTGCATTGCTATATGTACGGAGAATACCATTAAGTGGGTCAAGTCGTTGCCGTCATTAGCATAGAATGAAGCTGGGGCCTTGAACTATTTGCCATCATCCATTTACCATTTAGCATTCAGCACTCAGCATTTACCATTGATTTGCGACCACTGTGAAGTGGGGGCATTTCATTCGCTGGCGATAAACAATTTGCATTGCCAACTAAGCCCCGACCATCGTTAAACCATCAAGAGCCTGTCCGTCCCTTATCATCAACCAGTTGAACAAATTGCTGACCAAAACCAACAAAATCAGGCATAAGGGGTGTGGTGGAGGGCGGCTTTATTGAGCTCTCGGTGCTCTATAATTACAGAGGCCACGCCCACTGTTTGCACAACACTTGCGGGCGGACCCGATTCTGTATCTGTATCTGTACCGCTGTCTGTATTGTATATATATATATATATATGTATGTGGGATGTGTGTATCTGTGTAACCGAATATATTCATGGCATTGTTTGCTCGCATTTTGAAATCTGTCACTAGAAGCGATTCGCTGAAATTAACATTTTGTGCACAGGTCCGCCTGGAGAACCGGGAGCTCGAGGAGAACCGGGACCCATTGGACCTGCAGGACCCCCCGGCGAGAAAGGACCGCGCGGCAAGCGGGGCAAGCGGGTGAGTAATCAACACGGCACAAAAAGCTGAACCAAACAGGAAAAAAAAAGAGAAAAAAAGATAACAAACCTGATTCCACTCGATTTTTAATTAGAAACTCAACGGCGCAGGCCGTAAATTGAGTTCGAAAACAAGAAGTGTATTATCATGTAAATTACTTTTGTACAAATGCGTGGGCGTGTGCGTTAATTTTATGCTAATCTGTAAATACTAGTGACGCCGCTGGTGTAAATATCCATATATATGCCAACATAATATACTCGTACATAGAAGGGTAAACCCGAAACTTGTCCTTCCGCATGGTTTCACCTGCATGTTGGCAGTCGGTGTAATGAGCATGTTTACACGGCTGCGGAGAACGTGTTACTTAACTCATTACAGCAAGTGCGAGTCCTGAGATACAGTTACCAGTTGCCAGTTTGGTGTGGAGCCAAACTTTGACAAGCTGCCAAAGGGAGATAGGAAGAATAAAAGTATGTGGCAGATACTTCTGGCAACACGCCCCCAAGAAACTATGTATTTCGCCTGGTAATCTGGTGCCCGAAAATTTGGCGGCGCCTCTCTGGAAATACGAAATACGAAATACTTGTGCCATATCGCAGGCATTTATCTAGTACTATCTCGTCGTTATGGCTCTGCCCCCCAGAAAATGTCAACAGTTCCTAAGATACTTAACATTTTTATTGGCACTCCAAGTGGCGGCAGCTGTTGCCGCCCTTTTGACGCGTTGATGGATGCGCGATTCTTCGGGGGGCGATGGCGGCGGATGGAATTTTCATTTCATTTCGCTGCCTTTCTTTTTTGCGCATATATGAATATGTGTGGCCAGCACGTGTTTGTGTGCTCCATGAAAAATGCATAAGCGCCGCCGGCAAAGCTGCTACGCCACGGATGAGTTTCCTCGGCTCCAGCTGGGGGATCCGTTCTGCTCCGCTCCGTTCCGTTCCGTGTTTATGTATTATGCTGCGCAAACACTTGCGCATTTTGCCCATTTTCACGTAGCCAACTGGTAGAGGGGGGTTTTCAAGGAAAGCGTTCTGATTATGGTGCAGCAAAGTCAAAGTCACGGCAGCCGCTGTTGCCTCCGTGGTTGCTGCTTTTCTAATAACGCGTAATGTCGAAAAGGAACGGCAGGCATTTGGCCAATACAAACCGACTTCCAATACGCCCAACAGCGAAACAACAAACGAAAAACGCGGCGGCAACGTGCTGAACTTCTTTTATGGGTTCAAAGCCAGCGAGGGTAGATACAGCACTTAATGGCGAAGAAAAGTTTACCAGATTATAGATACCAAAGAAACGAGTGTCTTTTAAAGAATTGAGCCGGAAATAAAAGCTTAAGCGTTATCTACTGAAATACCTGTGTATGGAAAATTAAGTACATTTTATTAATAAACTCCTTAGACTTTAGATATTAAATGTATAGCCTGCGGATAAGCCGACTAAACCGAATTTCAGTTTTCTCAGCGCTTTAAAGAACTAAATCTATTCCATAATTCCATCCAATTAAGAGGCAAATGTTCGCCACACAAGAGAAGCCAAAAATTTGAAGCTTTCAAATGAATATATACGAAATATTTGAGAAGCACGTTGGCTTGGCAATAAATCCAATTAAATAGTTGAGCACAGGCTTTCGTAAGAATAGTTAAATTCAAGCCGAGTTGCGAAAGATACACATTTTTGCATTTTGTCCAAATGAAAAAAGTTTGCCACATAAGATAAGTTATTAAGCGTTTCACAAAACTTTTCGATCTTTCCCTGCTGCCAGGCTAGCGAGTTTCAATGAGCCGATTATATTGAGCCCCCTGCACAGTCGAAAGTTCCCCAATCCAGCGAACTGCAGCAACGTGATGTCAAAACAAATGAAAGTCATAAGCAAACGGCTTCTGCCTGTGGACTTCTTTGGCAAACAAACAAAAGTTTGGGCAACAGCAGATATACATAACTACTTGTATATATTCGCACTCATGCGCCGCACCGCAGGCAGTGCAAGGCATAAAAAATGATTTGCAACAATTGCCGTCATCTTCGGTGGAAACGTGACGCCTTCGAGGCAGCTGGTTGATTTTTCCTCGATCGATTTCCCTGCGGAAAGAAAAGCCTGCCTACGAAAATAATGATAATTATGTGAGGAGCTGCATTGGTGGGAATTGTTTGCCTGCATTTTCCAAATTTGCCTACTGGGAGGTGAAAAACTTTACCATAATTAGTTCGGCAAATCGTAAAAAGTGTCTGGCCTATTTTGGGAAAACATATATCCATTCATCGCCAACAGCATCTGGCTTGGCTAAAACCATTTTCCCAATTTTCCTCCTGTTAATATTTATATTTTTTTTTTTTGTTTTTGGGGTTATTGCCTAGCCGTCGGCGTCATAAAAAAAGCATAACGCAATTGCTGGCATTATAAATTTGACATGTTATTTTCGTCGCCTCGTCAGAATAAAATGCTCATATAGATTGCCACATGCCAGGGGCGTGGTGGGGGCAAGACGAGGGGGATTCTGATGACGGGTTGGCATATAAAATGAATTCGATGTGTGTAGTGAGGCGTGAGGCAGAGTTTTACAAGAAGCCGATGGTTCTGTGCCCTATATTCAGAGCGAAAACCAATGGCCAAACTAAGCCCAGTGACAAATGCAAAGTAAGTCAGCTGTCGGAAAAATCCATGAATAATCTGGGCAGCAGCAAACGCTAGACTACAGACTACCCGTGGCTACAGGGTATCAAAATGATTTCTGCCCGCAGCACAAACCTGCATTTTACGAGCGGGCATCGTATTAAAAATTTAAATTCATTTTAAAGCGACCATGTCATGGCTCGATTTAGCAGTTGCACATTTGCACTTTTCGCATCCATATATCCTGGTTTAATAAAGTTGAAACGATAAGTCAGTTGGGGAGGCTGGATGGGGTGGGAGTGTGGGTTAGCTGACAGCAATCTCGGCCAGAAGAAACTGTTTGTGAAGCGTTTATGTCAAATTTATGCTAATGTATTTTACAATCGTTGCTCAGCTCAGCCAAGGCCCATGTCAAGTTTGTTGTCTTTTGGGCCCTTCACATCAGCATAAATTTAACACCCCACCCGCACCGACTTTTCTCCACTTTGCTTATCAACCAAAAAGTTTTCCCGTGCCGGCTGCCGCTTCGGTCTAAGTAAATGGAGTCATAAAAATTGCGAAAGTCGCAAAAAAACAAAAAAAAACAAAAGGAAAACTTGTCAATTCGCTACACGTCACACGGTCTCCGCCCCGATGGAAATGCGATCCCAGGAACTGTGCAGAAGGAGAGCTTGGCACACTTTCCTCGGCAAATCAAAGACTTAAGGTTGCTTACACGGAAATCCAAATGGGCCAGGACCTTTTCATGCAAGTGTGTGTTGTATGCTGCACGTATGTACAGCCATACATATATCTTCATGTCTGCCACTCAAAGGGTTCATCGCTGTGGCTGCCACTTGGCCAATTCGTTGGTTGTCGGGTGTTGCCTAAACGACGCAATAAGCTTAGCACTTTCACCACCGAACTCCGGATCCTGGGCTCATTGCCTGGATTTTCATTGCTTCAGCTTGAGTGGAGACGACTTTCTCTTCCTCTTCCTTCCTCGTCCTCCTTTCCTGAGTCGATTCTACCCGATTTTCCGATTTTCCGATTTGATAAGCGCCATCCAACCCAAATGGCCAGCAATGTGGATGTGTGCTTACGTCATTGTTCATTGAAATATGCGCCGCATGCAAATTTCGCCTTCTTTGTGCGCAATTTTCCAATTTTCCTTGTCTGCGGCAATTATTTGCGGTCAGCGTCCATATATCTTATATTGAATGCGAGAGAAAGCCCGCTTGTGACCGGGCCAAAAAAACCCGGTCAAGCGTGGGACACGCCGCAGGACACGCGTGGGTGGGTACACACACACATGTACATGTGCACGCATGCATGTGGGTGTGCGGGTAATGTCCTGGCCCCAAGGGTGTGCGTAACTTTTATTTTATGGCCGCTGATGATGAGAGCGTTGCGGGAGTCGCAAAAGCGATTGAATAAAGAAATCCGGGCTCACCCACGGCATCAGAAACGCGACGACAATGCCCTCTGACCCCCAATGCCACCTACCCACTGAACTTCCTTTCTTTTGCAGCCCCCCCTCCAATTTCATCCAAGTTAGTCAGCCTCATAGAAATTTATAGGCACGCGTGTTACATTGACGTGGGTTTGGGGTCGCCAGCCAGCGCTGGAAATCCGAGAATGGGGGTTTGGGTGGCTCTTGGGTCAGGGAGTGAGGAATACGGAATGAGAGGGGGAATGGAAGGGGGGCTGTGCATGCAAAAGTAGCAAAATTATACGAAAACCAAACCAAACAGCCAACCACACAAATGCCAACTGCTGCCATCTTGGCATTGATGTGGAACTGTTGTCGTCGAAAACGATGGCAAAAAGCAGCAGCAGCAGCAGCAGCGGCAGCGGCAGCGGAGGCAAAACGGCGAAATCTTTAACAACGATTTCCCTAAATACTTCCGAATTTCATACATATTACAATATCACGGCAACCGGAGAAACCGCAGCTACATTGTTAGGGGCGAAACGAAATCACGCGAAATTTTTACAACAGGACTTGACTTCCTCCTCTTGAGCTCGGCACAGTGGGTGTTGCGAATGGAAGTTTACGCCCCACTGAATTTTCCATAAATAGAATATCTTCCAAGAAGACGAGAAAATATTTGGGGACAAGCAAAATTTGAGAGATGTCGCGTATAAACTGAAAATGAATTCAAGTTAATTGGGTAATTAAGTGTGCGTTATGATGTTCAGTTCATCCTTGAACTAAGATATGCCACTTGTAAGCTGAAAAGTATTTCCTTATGAATCACAAAGGTGGAAAGTACTTTACTTTGCGTGTTGATAGAGTTGATCAAATGATCAGTGTCCAGTTGGTTTTTATTGTGCTGAATAAATAAAGAGCTATAAAAAGAGTAGAACAGAACTTATTTCATAATTTAGGAATCCAAAAACTTTATTTTAATGGGGCTGACAGAGTTGGCAGATCGAAAACTGTAATCGCTTCCGTATTTGTAATTTTATATTTTCATAGATTTTCTCCTCTATAAAGACTGTGTTGCATAACGAAAGCAATCTCAGATTGTTTATGGTTCCGCCCTTTATCGCTCAAATCGCCCATTGTAATCGGTATCAATGCGAGGCGGAACGTATTACGAATTTAATGCGCTCGCGTACTTCCAAAGAACTTCCCCTCGGCCACCGACGAATATTTTGTAAACTTTTGCGGCAAACGCGCAACGCATTACACGCCATGAAGTGCCGGGATTTTGGCCGGAGTTCACGGAGTATGCGGAGTATACGGAATATGTGGGTGTATGTGAGCCGGAAACGGGCTGCAAAACTTTCACCTCAGGTGGTGGGTGGATGGGCGGAATGGGTGGAATGGGAAGGTCGGTCGTTCAGTGCGCTTTTTTCCGCCATTTCCCACTCCCACTGGCTGTTGTTATGGCTCGGGAAAAATATGAAATTTCAAAAGAGGCAACAACTGCCGGGGAAAATGAAAAATTGTGAGAAATATGCGCGCACGCAGCGCACCAACGGCACATGTTGTACTTGAAGGCGAGTATCCCGATCCGGAGGTGGCCTCGTCCTTCTGGCCCTGATGCCACTCCTTGGTCCTTCTGGTCGCCATTCTATCTGGTTCGCATTCAGCGACATCCGCAAAAGGTCGCGTCGAGATCAAAATGATTTTCAATTTAACGCGTTTACGTGCGGCCATTTGTCTGTTTTCCTTCCCCGTTTTCCTGCCAGCTTTAAATGTAAAAACTTCGCCGGATGCATACTGCGCGAAATCGAGACGTAACGACATACCATCAGATGGGGCAATTAATTTACAATTACAATTCACATTGACAACTAAAATGTACGCAAAAAAAAGGTGGAGCGCCCGAAAGTATGCAGTTAAAAAACGCCATGACTACGGCATGAAAAATTCATTTGCCTTGTCATTTGTGCGTTAAATTGGAAGGCGTTTGTGCAAATATTTTCGATATTTACGCATAATTTAAGAGGACCTTCCCACTCAAACAGATGTATCTACATACATATGTATATGCGACTGTGTTTGGGTGCTTTGAAAATTAAATTCTACCCGAGGCGCTCGCCCGCACAAATATTGATACATTCTAATGGATTTCCTTACACACACATACTTACGCCCCCGCAAGCCGATTGGTTTTTGGGCTCTCGAAAAGGCAGAGCTGAAATAGCTGAAACACAGTGCGTTTTCACTCTGGTATTTTTTACCATCGGATATCGTAGTTAGGCAGCTGTGCCAACATTCGTCCTTGCGCGCCGAGCCCCACAAACATCTGCCCAATTCACTTGCCACTTTCCGCATCTGTATGCGTATCTCTTATTTATGTTATTTATCTGCCTTATCTGCCGGCAGTTGGCTTTAAAAGCCTTTAAGCCCGGACTACCGCTTCCCTTTGGCAACTGGCGTTACTGGGTTTTGCGATCATCGATTGACTGGCCGGCGGCGAAATGTGGGCACGTAAGCCCTCAAAGTGTCCCTTAATTACAGCAGAAGGCAAACGTTAAGCACTCGGCTTTAATTCAAATCGCTTTAATTGCTCTACAAATGGCCAGAGAGGAGAAGGAAACCCTGGCGGATTCCCCTTGTTCCGCATTAGGAACAATGTGCCAAAGTTGCTAACAAAGCGCCAACTGACGCAGAAGCTGGTATCCTTGCACACACACACGCAGGAGGCACACACCTGCTCAGGAGCCACATGCAGATCAGAGCTCCTGGGGCAAAAAGAAAATGGCAAGAGGGAAAAAGTTGAAATTGGGAAGTGCATTTGCGGCGAGAAGGAAGGACTCCAGCCGCACCATCCTTAGACCACAGTTATCTTTGCCGCCTCGTCCTTTTGTCTGTCGCATTTCGCAGGACGAACAACTTGTGCATATGCCAAGCCACATCCTGTCCGTATAAGTGTGCGTTAAGCGCTTACATTGTTATGCCTTCTCGCTGATGCCGTTGTCCTTATGCTGTTTTGCTGTTGTTGCCGGGTTTTAATAACTGTAAGTACGCCACTTCCTGTGACAGAAGAAAATGTAATTGTTGCACATGCCCGGGCATGCCGCAAGGAAATTACACTTCCACAGGCACACAGATATAGGCACACATACAGCAGCGCAGATACATATGCAAGTGCAGTTGCAGATACAGATACAGATACTGGATCAATTGCGTATGCCGGCATAGAGGTGAACAACTGAACGTAATGCATATGCACAATCAAAGGACTAAACGGATACATTCAATCTGATTTAATGTAGTATTACTCGGGGAGCAATTTTCCTTAATTCCACGACGAACTCAGCTTTAATGCCGAGCTGCGGCCCATTTTATTCCCCACTGGATTTGGCCCGAAAGCGATTGAATATTTCAGGAACCGACAAGTGTCTCTATTTACTTGAGCCACATGTGTAAATGGTTTTCCCTATTTGCCTTTATTCGAGCCATTTTCCAGGGCTCCTTAACATATTCCGCTGCGCTCGTTGTTTTAGCCGGAGTTTGCCTTTTATGTCGCTTAGCATTCGCCTAATAGGGGTTTTTGTTTGGGTGCAATGCGGTCTGAAAGCACCCGCCTTTAACAACTTTTGGTAATTTCCATTCAGCCGCAATACACTGAAGTAAAGCACAAGCACCTTCTGCGCAACGAAGAAAGCCTTTACAATGAATGCCTTTAATAAGTCACTGCTTTCTTGGGTGCTTTGTTAGTCTTCCTTAGGAATAAAAAGTTCCAATAAAATCCTCTGACTATTTATGGTGTCCCTCGGCAAACTTTATGCTTACGCAACCTCTATCTTCTGACTATTCAAGCTAAGTCCCGATTTGAAACATTAAATTCGAATGGCTTTTCCCCGAGCAGTGCACGTTTAAGCCCCATCGAAACTTTGGACTTTATGTATTTTTTGGGGCTTGCCTGGTTGTCTGTGCCTGGGAAATTTGCCTCGAAGCGTGCACATTAACCCACCAAAAAACACGGCTAAAAAAAGAATTAATTGTCTTTCGCAATGCACTCACTCACTCACACACACATGCGCGCACACAATGGCAAGGGCCAAAGAGCACCCACACACTCGAACGGGGGCACTCACACACAGGCACTCGAAGCACGTAGAGAAGTCGCTGTCGCTGACTTGACTTTATTTTCGACTCTCGTAGAGTCCCGTACCAGCCGCACACCCACTGGAGCTCCACGGGCTTAAAGATTTTCTATGCAGCCATTGTCTCGACGGGATGCGGAGTGGGCGACGGGGAGGTGGTGGTGGTGGTGGTGGTGGTGGTGGTGGCGGTGGTGGTGCGATGGCACGGATGCTCCAACTTGCACTTAACACAATTTCGTGGCACACAAAAGACTTTCGCTGCGGCACAGCCACCAGCACACGCCGCACCACCACGAAAACCACACCATCCCCATCCCCATTCGCATCGCAATCCCAATCCCAATCCTCTCCTGTGGGCGCACTTTTTTTTTCGTTACCTGCGAATTACGCGGCGCTTTTGTTTCCCCCATCAAAGCGTGTGGAACGAGCGCGTGCAACGCCTCGGGCGGCGCCACGTGGCATAAATTAATCTTCCCACTAAATTTGCCAACTTCTCTTCTCCAACCATTGCACTCACACACACACTTGTAGATATTCGGACCCGGAGGCACCAAAATAGACGAGGACTACGACGATCCGCCGGTGACACTGTTGCGCGGTCCGCCAGGACCGCCAGGAATCGCTGGAAAGGATGGCCGCGATGGACGGGACGGCAGCAAGGGAGAACCTGGCGAGCCAGGAGAGCCCGGATCTTTGGGTCCGCGAGGATTGGACGGACTGCCCGGTGAGCCGGGCATCGAAGGACCGCCGGGGCTGCCGGGATACCAGGGTCCACCAGGAGAAAAGGGCGATCGCGGCGATATTGGCCCACCTGGATTGATGGGTCCGCCGGGCCTGCCAGGACCTCCAGGCTACCCTGGCGTCAAGGGGGACAAGGGCGATCGTGGTGACTCGGTGAGTATGGTCTGAGTTCAGTTCTTGAAGGATGTCTCCTATCTAGCTATCGGAATCCTATTTGGAGCATGAATAACTTCAATTTCGTTACAGTACCGCAAAATGCGACGTCGCCAGGATGACGGGATGTCCGACGCGCCCCACATGCCCACCATCGAATATGTAAGCCACAGTATTTCACCAGCACCGCCCTGTGGACTAATCCAAACCCATGTAATTTCCTTCGCAGTTATATGGCCCCCCGGGACCTCCTGGACCAATGGGTCCGCCGGGACACACCGGCAGTCAGGGAGAACGCGGCTTGGACGGTCGCAAGGGAGATGCGGTAAGAGTCAATAGGTCAGATATCTCCAGATATGCATCTCTAAATCTGTTTCAAATCTCGTGTGCAGGGTGAAAAGGGCCACAAGGGAGATCAGGGACCTATGGGACTGCCGGTAAGTGGCAAAGTAGCCCAAAGTTTATCCCGTAATTATAGCGAAATGATATAATTGCAGGGTCCGATGGGCATGAGAGGCGAGTCAGGACCTTCTGGACCCTCTGGAAAGGCTGGCATACCGGTAAATTTCAATTGAACACTGGCAGCCCGTGTTGTTTGGCTTTTATTTTGTTAGCTCGCCAAAATTGGGGCTATTATCCCGCTTAGCTAGTCGTAACCCTCCTGGCTTTTGTTGCTTTCGTACTCGTGGATCTCGTTACTAAACGTTTTGACTAACCAAATTATGTGTTCTCATCTCTCTTTCTTTTTCTACTTGAAACAGGTGTGGGGCGACTACTAATACTAGTTAAAAGGCAGTCTCTATTAAACAATATAACCAGCACTCATTGCGCCAAAGTCCAAATGATATGCGACTTGAAATAAAGCCATTCAAATAAGACCATTCACGCACACCCACACCAAAACACACTCACACACACACACACACAGCCGAACAGAAAGTCCTTAAGATGAAAAACTCAATTTAATCAAAGCAAAACAATGTTCAAAGTTAAGAAGCCGCGCAAAGCTTGTCAAATGTGCTCAGTTAACGTCTATATATGTATAGATATATAAATTTGTATATGACAGGCGTACTATATGTATATCAATTTGTACAAAACGCACCCATGTACAGAAAAGCAAATTCGAAATAGCAGCATGTCAGTGCCGAGTAAGCAAATCAATTAGCTGCACAAGGCAAAGAACCGAAACCGAACGAACCCCCTCCACTCAACCCGCATGAGAAAAAATTAATATTCATATCATTTAAAATGCCCCAAGAGTCAAATAAGTATTTATGTATACAATCAAATAGCGCAAACAAACGTGTGTCTACAGAAGCGTATTTACAAACATCAATCAATCGAATCAACTAACACTCACTTTGAACCCACACCCACACTAGCGAGCACATTCACTCCCACTTACACACCCACACCCACAAACACACACATCAAACAGATGTACAACAAACCAACTAACAAATATGCAATGCAAATATTTTAATTGCATTTCATTCGCCGCCGTTCTGTGCGAAGCAATTGCAGCAGGAGCAGGAAAGCCCCTTGAAAATGCATAAATCATACGCACCGTGGTACGTGAAAACAGCATGCGATGGGATTTCAAGTGCTTCGACGAGTGCGAAGAAATAATTTCTGGATTATGACGAGGCCAAGTAGCAATCATCGCCAATTAGCCATACGTGACTTAATTACTTGCTTAATCAGATTATTCGTAACAATTGAACCGAATGAGTCCTTGCCACTTGTGCTGCATCTGCATCTGCTCCTGCTGCATTCTGCATTGTCTTAGGTGCCGTCCATGGGCTATGTCTGAGTATTCGAATAGAACTCGTTCATACAAAGCATTATTGCCAAAGCTTCAATGTGAAACACAAGGCTTAGAGCAGCAATCCCGTAAGTGTGTGTTTAAATAAGGAATTGGGCTTATTAAAGGCGTCGAAACAAAAGAATTGTAAGATATTTTCATCCAGAACTCTCTTGATGTCTACAATTAATGAATACAGTTTAGTTACCTACACACAAGAACACACAATCCACATGAAAGAGGTTTATACATACACGGCAATGTACTCTAATATCGAGATAACAAACAAGAAGAGCTATCCAAAACAAATGGGCATATTTTTCAGTGTTAATGAATACAACTTCAAAAAACAAGCGCACATTCGCTTGAAACTAGTTAGGCGAAAGATGAATTCTATAGTCGATAGCCGATGCTTTTCAGCTGAGCATCCGGGCTTGAAAACGCTGCGAAACTGGAGTATTCTCTCCTGAAATGCGAAATAATAAACAATAAATACATAATCTTACCACAAGTATGTATCCTATTGGTTTCATGGACATCTCAAACAAAGTAACGCAAAACAATTCTATTTATACAACAACAAAAACGAATGCGAAAATTACAATTTTCGAGTAACTGCAGCATTTTCAATTTCAACGCTCCAACTAGGCAAAGGACGAATAAAGCGGCCTGAAAATCAAACATAATCAATGCAAATGAAATAATGCCATGGAAATATGATAATAAAAGTATATATATGTGTGTATACTGCCATTTGACGGCCTCAGCCCTGCATACTTTCGCATAAATGTTGGATGGGAATTATCGAATATGCAAATGGCAAATGGCAAATGGCAAATGGAAATGTTTGCAGCTTTAATGTTTACTCAAACGGCAAACGGCAAACGGCATCGAAAATCAGAAAGAATATGTCAATTTGTTTTCAATTAGATGTGTCTCGTTGTTGTAATAATCCCCAATGGAAAACAAAATACACAGGCAAATTGCATGTCAATTTTCATTTAATCCACTAAATGTCAAACAATCCCAAATGTGTACATAAGCGCTAACGGTAAAGAACGTAACTTAATCGTAATTAATTATTCATTTTTTCTATCCCTTTTGACCTCTCAACGTGTTTTCTTGCAACTAGCTCTCTTTATATAGATACTTGCCATCTGTACTATCTCTAGATTCTCTCACTTATGTACTAACTACGAACTCCACTTCAACTTCGATCAATAGGCTAGAATAATGAATTGTGTTTTTGCGATTAAAATCTAACATTAACTCAACGGATAACTATATATGAGAAGTCATAAGAAAGGTTAAACCCCTAATAAGCCGCTAATTTTAAGTGTAAATTTGTTAATTACCCAATAAACACGAGGAGTTTGCAAACGAACAAAAAATATACAAATAAATATATATATTTACGTGTATTTATGTCTATATACACATGCATATACCAAATGTCGATGTTCGAGTGCATTATCCCACTACAAACACAAAATGAATTATTTTTATCCGTGCTGCTGCATTTCAAATGTATGATTCGAATGAAATTAAAACGAATGTGAATTCTGGTAATTATTTGTCGTGGCATGTGCGAACTGAAACGGCAAGCATTCGATGGAATGCCTAGAATGCCTAGAATGACCGAATTGTAAAATGGCTAAACGAAACTAACATAATTTTCGAATTAATTATGCATTTCCAATAAAGTGATGGTTTTTTACTAAAACAATGTCCGCAGGACATCTAATGCTTACTCTTCGAGGCAGAGTTTCCACTTCACGCCGCCGAGCTAACCACACGCTTTTCCCCTTCTCTTGTTTTTCTTCCATTTGCTGCAGGGTCCTCCGGGCTTGGATGGCATGAAGGTATTTTCCCCGAAACAGCCGCTTATGTGAAAACAAACATATGGTAATAACCGATCTGTGTTCTGCTCTCTGTTTTCTGTGTTCGCAGGGCGCCCAGGGCGAGACGGGACACAAGGGGGAGCGCGGGGATCCGGGACTGCCGGTAAGCAACTGCAGGATACACCTGCTCCTAGGATACTTCCGTAGAAAGTGCTCTTCTACTCCGTGTGGTCGCTAATTTCAAATAATACGTGTATTCTCTTTCTCCATTTTATATTGTTTTTACCTCTGTTTGCATGCGTATCTCTCTTTCTTGGCGTCGTTCTCTACCTATATGCACAACCCCCGAACACCACCCTCCACCACCTTTGACCTCTGACCCCCTGACAACTCCACCCACCCCACCCCCCATTCACCCCGCAAAACACTCGAACACACCTCCGGATAATCGAAATCGAAACAAAAGGGCACGGATGGCATTCCCGGGCAGGAGGGGCCACGCGGGGAGCAGGGCTCCAGAGGGGATGCCGGCCCGCCCGGCAAGCGGGGACGGAAAGGAGATCGCGGCGACAAGGGCGAGCAGGGCGTGCCCGGACTGGACGCCCCCTGCCCCCTCGGCGCCGATGGGCTGCCGCTGCCCGGCTGCGGATGGCGGCCGCCAAAGGTTAGCATGCGTTACTCGTTATCGGCTAATCCCCATTCCCTAACTCCTAGCTTGCACAGAAAAAAAAGATAAGTCGGGGATATATTTGCCATAGTCTCGTGTTTTAAATTGTACTATTTACAAGTGTTTTCTTTATATAGTTTTATTTAAGAATAGAATTTTCTTTTGTGCCAGATTAAAAGTTCTTAGCATATCTATAATATTCTTGCATTAGTATTTCCCTGAGAAAACTATTGATTTGCCAACTGAAATAACCAAAGATAAAAATGTCCCTTGAAGGATTAGAAATGACTTTAAAGCAATACATCATTTTTTTCTGTGCAATCCCAATTGGCTGTCGGAAAGTTGATCGTTGGGACTTTTGCATGCGCCACTCGTGGCCTCCATCTACTTGGTAGAGTATCTTGATGTTGTCCAAGTTGGTTAACTAACTTTTGCTTTCGCACAAACACTCACACCCACACTCTCACTAACACTAACACACTGGGACACACACTCGCACACCCACGACACACACACAAAAACACACGAATACCTAACACAGGAGCCAATCATCTCGACGCCCGTGCACAAGGATTATTTGCCCGATGTAACGCAGCCGGAAAGCAACGCCAGCGATTACGAGCAGGAGGAGGAGGAGGAGGACGAGCAGGCGGAGGATAATGAAAACGAATATGATGAATATCAGGATAATTTGCATAACAATGAGTGAGAAAAGGAAGCAGTCAGCCAGCCCAGCAAATGGCAAACACAGGCGCATGAAGGCGCATAAAGGCGAACAGACCCTAAGAACCAACGTCCTTCCCACCTCGCACCACCTCCACCACCACCCACAGCAGAGACACCAACACACAGACACTGGCATTGGTGCAGGCACGGGCACAGGCACAGACACAGGCCCACCCATACCGACACACCGACACAGACGACTAGTTAAGCATTTCCGATTTCCGCTGCGAGTCCTGGCTCTGTTTCGCTCTGTTGACATTTGCAATTAGCGCTAACAAATGCCAAGTGGCTGCTGCTTCTAACGGCTCTGCAAAGTAGAAGCTATTAGCATACTCTATCTCTGTCCTTAACCCTATTCCTCACTCACTCGCTCTGCCTCACGCACACGCCTACGCACACGCACACAATTATCCTTTGGTTTGGCTAACACACACGCTGGCTTTGGCTTAGCTTGGTGACGGGTCCTGGCTCTCTCTACCATCTCCACCAACTCCACCATCTCTACCACTCTCGCTCGAATTCGCTCATCCAACTCCGGCCGTTTCCGGCTGAACTTCTGTCTCGCCCCTTGCAGGAGAACTGGCAGGCCTGGCTCAAGGACGAGCTCAATGCGCTGCAGCATCCGCGCTCAAAAAACTAATTGCCACCGCCCCCTCGGCGGCTGCAGCAAAGGCGAGCTCCCGCCATATCCAGATCCATCTAGGCGCTTTGGTTATAATTTTAGTAACTTGTTATTGTTAAATGTAGACATCGAACAGAGCTATAGCTACTACATCCATCGCATAGAAACATCCTAGCATAAGCACTGTATAATCGTATAATCTGTATCTGCATCTGTGCCAAATTGCTCCAGGTTGCCTCCAGTTCGGCGTTCCCGGCCCCTCGACGTCGCAACCTTTAATTGTAGTTCTACCTTACCTACTACTATATAAATTGTATCCACTACAGCTATTTCGAATACCTTAAGCGATAAATGAAACCAGCTATTTTTTACAAAAAACACTATTTAAAACGAAACTTAAAGAATAAAAATCGATAAAATTAAAGCAATGGGTTTCTTTATACCTCAAATTGACTCAAATACCTCAAAGCAGTCGGTGAAACCAACATCTCAAACATTCTCAAAACTATGCGAATTATTCTAAACAAAAGCAATGTTCCGCATACGTAAGCCAGCTACTAAAAATTTTTACGTACAGAATGGAGTGGCGTACACCGAAGATCGCAAGATTGTGCGACGGGTGACAATATCTGCGAAGTGGCCCTTTTTGAAGCACTCGCTGCTGAAGCATTTCTCGAGTTTTGGAAAAGTAGAGGATCTCCAATGGAATAAGGACACGTGTGCGGGATCGGTTTTTTTTCAAGAGGCTACGCAAGCGGCCAAGGCTTTGTATTGCACCAAGCACAACGTGGATGGCCACTCTCTTGTTTTGCAGGCCAGCAGCTCCTGGCACCAACCGCCGGAGCAGGAGGAAGCCGGAGCTCGGAGTGCCTACGATATACCCATTGTTGATGACTTTTGGCGAGAAGTGATCACGTACCTTCCGCTGAATTCTCGTCTCGACTTTGCCGACAGTTGTGAAAGATTCCAGACGGTCTACGAATTGGATTCGCATCGGCTCAATCACATTCTTGAGATGGGGGATGTCTGCACACTGACCCACTGGGGCATTAAAAGATTGATGCTGCTATCAGGAAACCACATTCGCTGTATAAAAGGGGGCCCGCTTCATCCTTTCTGGCCGCATATGAAGCAGTTTGTGCAGCTGTTGGGCGTAAGCTGTCCAAATCTAGCAGAGCTAAACTTCGTCCGGATTCCTCTCAGTCTATTCCACATGACTAACCTGTTCCAGAGTGCCAATGGCTGCAGTAAGATGACCAGCATCTCGATGAGACATTGTGACCTGACAGATAGTCATCTTTCCTGCTTGCATTCGCTAACTGCACTAAAGGGTCTGGACATCAGAGACAACCCTTGTATTCAAGGCGACACATTAGGAACTCTGCCAGTTTCCTTGGAGATTTTAAATGTTTCAAGATGCACATCTCTGTTGGACACGCGTCTTGTCGATCTTGGGGCTCTGCCGCTTCTCCGCGAACTGCGCTGCTCTGAAATCAGCCAATATATGGAAAACGATGAGCTGTTCCGGCTGCTGGTGCACAGCTGTCCAATGCTCGAGGTTCTCGAGATGACCATCAGTTCATATATGGATAGATCACATGTGATGCAGCTGGGCGGTCTGTCTCGTCTTCGCACCTTGGTCCTCTTCCCTTCCTTGGATCCGGAATGGTGCCAAGTGAACAACTCGCTGCTTATGTCGCTCGCGGACTTGGATTTGCTGCGCCATTTAGAGATCCATCATGGTCACCGTGGCTTCGTAACTTCCTTCGGTCTGAGGATTATTTCCCAGCTTAAAGAACTGCGGACCCTTGTATTACAGAATCAGGACTTTGGCAGGGACGAACTAATGGAGCTGCGAAAACTTAATGCCTTGGAGTTTCTGGACTTGAGTGGCTCATACCATCTAACCGATGAAATCGCTGCGGAGTTGGCTAAGACTCTTGGAAGACTACGCCGTTTGAAAGTCGAGCGATGTCCTCTTATCTCACGACGATTAGCCGAGATCCTCAAAGGGAATCCCAAGCTTCAAATAGACGCTTAGGTTCTAGCTGCTGCTCAACACCAATGTTTTTTATGTATTTTCTGCCTATTTTTTAAAATATATATTTGTGATTGCCAAAAAATCGAAATACTTTACTTGTTCTCGACACTTGCGAACCCGTTGGATATTTGTGAATAATTGCTCAGGCCCTGTAGCTTAGTCCATTCTGAGATGTGATACACATTTTTAATATTGCTAGGCCTATGGCGCTTAACTATGATAAGTATATGCTTCCCCATATGGAGCAAAACTAGCTATAGTCAAAAGCCTCCTTTAAAACGTGTTACTCTTTCAAAAGCTTAAAGTGCTTGACATATTTATGAACCGTGTCCTTAACATAAGGCTTCAAGGCGATGCAGGTTGGGATATTTTCGGGTTGTTCGATCCACAACTTGTGTTTAATCTCGTGCTCCTTCAACTTTTCGCTGAGCTTGACCAGCGCAGTCTCATCTTTGGCCTGAAAACGTGAATGGCATAAATCTTATAATATAGACTGGCTAAAAGATAAACTATTTCATTACCTCCAGCACCACTTTGTGCATATTATCCAGATCCTTCAGGTAGGCCACAGTGTCGGCGTCCTCGGCATTCAGGTGAATAACGGCTGCTGTGGCATGACAACTCTGGGCGATCACCGCCCCCAAGGGCCAACTGAGGGCGGAACGCAAGTCGCTCCGGACTACGATATACTGCACAATGTTACTCATGTTTTATCAAATATACGAATTCCGAAATGTTTACATTTTTGGAGCTAGGGATGTGCTGAAAGCATAAAAATATCAATACATCGATATTTTTCCACAGGTATTTCTACGGGGATGTATTTTACCAATGTATACCAACACTATGTAGAGTAAGAAAACTATTCCCTGATCAAAATAATATTTGTACGTTTAAATATTTAAAAAACAAACATGTCGGAAAGACGATGCCTAAAATATATAAGAAATTTGTGTAGTAGTTTGGAAAATAGTCGTCAGTGTGAACACCCCTTATGTAGAATGTAGGAAGCCAAGTACTACTCGCAGCTTCTGCACCAGGTGTCGCCACTGCGCGCTAAACCTAAGTAGAAAAATTGTCATAGATGTAAAATGTATAACATAAACTCCTTATATTTATTTTGTGTTGCTCTTCGAGAAAAGGTTTGTTTTCCGTGCGAAGCCGTGCTTCACAATGCGAATAATAAAATTCATAATGATATTTCCAAGGTTAAATACATACGAATGGAACCGTATTAATCAAAAGCAAAATTTCCTATGTTAGGCTATGCTTTAATGACCCATTGTCACATCTGATTTACTCATTTTCATCAGTATTATCGGTAGAGCGTTTAATTTATCCACACATGACGCTGTCCAGCTAAAAGCACTTTACCCATAATTTTCATAAATTGCCGGGCATGCATACGTTGATTGTATCGCACTTGATGCGCACTATGCTGAACTGCGAGGCAAATTTACCCACCAGCCACACCCACTAAAAGCAACTTGAAGTCGAAAATGCAAGGACAGCAACAAGTGAGAGCAGAGCTTTGTATAGATACTTTGATTTTATTATTGTAATTTCTTGGAACACTTTACATTTACATTTAAATTTATACGCCATAGATGCGAGACGATAAACGACGACTACACACACATAACAATTTGACAGTTTAATTGATTTAATTTACGCACCACATTGATACGGATCTGTAGGAGATCCTACCTCGTAATTGATATCATCGCTAGATATAGTCGTAGTTCGTAAAGGTACACTTTTGCATATGTGTATGTGTAGAGATACTGCAGCTTGCACATTACTCGAAGCCTTGGTATATAAAATATAAATAGTTTGCAGACAGATTACGCTACTAAATTAGAACATTGAATTGGGCAAAACTTGAGATTCTTAGAGAGAAAACAACACTCAACTAACAACGACGGATCATCAAGTCGGGAGGGTTGAGATCTATCTGCCTCCCCTGTCGACAATAGATATATTAATTAATTTTAATAATAATTTCACTTGTTGCATTTGTTCAGTATGTCCAGTATCGGAGCTCCTATTCTTTGGCTGGGTCTTAGAAACTGGTCTTTCCAAAAATGTAGTTGCCGGGCGCATTCACGTCCTCGGCGGCGAAGTACTCCTTCCACAAGGCGGCGAACTGCTCCCGAGTGACCTCGCTCTGTCCCTGAGCCATCTTCCCGAAGGCCTCCTCGCACTCGGTCTTCTCCAGGCCATAGCTGGAGCAGACCAGCGTGAACTCGGTCACATCGATGCCTCCATCGTGCGAAGCGTCCTCCAGGTCGAACATGAAGTTCATGTAGGCATTCTGCCAGTCCATCACGCTGCTGGGATCCTTGGCATAGGCGTCCCACATGTTGCACCACTCGTCCACGCTGACCTGGAAGAGCCATAATGGGATGAAGCGTCGAGATTGCGGATTAGCCACTGCCGAACCCCCCAGATTTATGCATGCATCCCGCCCCGTGCTGAAAAGACCATTAGTGGGTATCGCCTCGGGCGGAGATGCCCCATAAAACACGTTATGGTTGCTCTGGGGGCGTAATTTATGCCATCTAGTGATGCGATATTAACATTTTCAGCCTGCCAATAGCGAACGAGCCAGGCAATTACCGCAACATCGCCTTGACCAACTTGGCTGACCGCCTGCCACGGCATTGCCCAAACCGAAACCTAAACCGTAACCGAAACCGAAACCGAAGGCAGTACCAGGGGGGGTACCAGTTCCTAGGGCCAGCACCCCATTCCATTAATTGTGGCCAGCCGTTACGTTTTGGCATGTTTTAATACGGCCATAAATAAACGCGAGGGTAGTGTCTGACCAAGACCACTTGTTATGCCAATTGGCACTTCACCCCCTCCAGAAATGAGCTCTAAACAGCAATTCGAACCGAGTGCATATTTCAATGTTTATGGCCGCCGGCTGAATGTGGCTTGGATCCTTGACCCTCTGCTGTGTCGCCAAAAATAAAAGAGATGCGTCCTCTCTGCTCTGGCCTCGACTGCAGCTCCTTTTCCGGCTAATTTGGGTCCGTGTCACGGCACGTGCTCCGACTTGGATTGCTGCGGAAAGTGAACAATAAATCTTAAGCTGACTGCCACAAAGGCGGAGCTACAATAGCTGGGGATTTGGCATATTTTGGCAGAAAACTCCATCAAGTTCCCTGGCCGTTGGCCAGAACTTTTGTGGCTTCATGGCAGTCCAAGTTCCACTACCTTCGGTCGACTACATTGCGTTCAGTTGCGCACAAAGTGCCCGTAAACCAGTAAACCAGTAAACCAGCAAACCCGTAACCCTTGGAATGCGCCAATAGAATTAAGCCGAGGTTTTGTCGGTCTGACATTTCAATTTCTGTTCGCTTTGTATCGCATTGTTGCGGGTTTTGGTCGTCGCTTGTGTTGATATTGAACTACGCTCTGCCGGGCCGGATTATAATTTAATTTGCTGCACTGGCGATGGTGCGATTATGCCAGTGCCATTGTGTTGCAAAGTGCGGGAAACCTGCATCCCGCAGTCTAGGAGACAGAAAGTTGGTCCTGGTAATGAGAAGAAAGTTGGTGGCAAGTCGGCTAGTTGGCAAGTCCCCGGCTGGAATTCGGAATGCGTTGCTCAAATAATTCACAATTCAATTTCCGCCCGCTGGCAGGGAATTTGTTTACCCCTCGCATTCCGCACCAATAAAAAGGCAAATTTATGAACGGAATTTCTCTTCCGTTTTTTGCGTTTGTCTGTGCAAAGGACCTACATACCTCGAGGTATGTATGTGTGTGTGTGTGCTTCTGGGTTGACCTGCACACTTGTCAGCTGCTGCCACAATGGCATCGAGTGCAGTCCATGGATTTCAGCACTTTGGCACTGACAATGGAGCCGCACAAAAACCCGAATCACTTGACATGTAGTTAGTTGCATTGCCTTTGCAACTCGGCGGGGTGGTGGGTAGGAATGGAACTCACCTGTCCATCGTTGTCCTTGTCGGCCTTGGAGCGCAGGCCAGTCCAGATTTCCATCATCAGGTCGTAGGTCTCCTTGTTCTTCGGCGTGTCCTTCTGCCAGCCGCGCAGTTGGCAAACGCGCTGCAATTGGCAGAAACAATAACAGTCAGCATGGCACCCTCCAAATTGAGTTATCAGTTGATATTGGCAAAAAACAGTGCATGCAAACGGCCAAAAAATAACAGCGAAAGACTAAACTGGAACAAAAACTGGAAAACATTTGGGCAGCTCTATTGTTGATGTATGAACGAGTAGTTCATATGCAAGCACCAGCATTTCTCGCATGCACTCTTCAAAATATATTCACATTTTTCGCTTGCTTTCTTTTTTGCTAGCACCATTTCCGCTCCACTTACCTCGATGGCCAGCTCGAAGTCCTTAACGTCGATTTCGCCGCTTTGGTTCACATCTGTTGCGGCACGCATTATGCGGCATTGTTGTTATTTTGGGGGCAGTCAGCGTGAATCGCATGTTGTTGGTCCCGCATTGTTTGCATTGGTCAGTGCGGCCCAAAACCCAGATCCAAACGGCGCAGGCGAAAAGAGCCAAAAAGAGCCGAAAAGAATGAGAATGAGGAGGGAACAATGTACGGATTTTTTGGCTGCCAGCGACATAGTTCCGGTCGGCGGTGGTGCGAACATCGGCAAAATTGCACAGCCCAACTGTCACCCAGCCGCCACGCGGAAGTCCTGGCGACACTCAGAGAAAAGGAGTCCTGGTATTAAGGAATCCCACAAAAAAAGTTGTAATTCTACTTTTATAACATTACAAATCCTTTTTAAAATACCTGTTTCGCTGCATTTTGATTGTATTGCTTCTTTTCCCTGTACTTTCAAAATTATATCTAAATCTCAGTGTGTTTATAGATTTCTAATTAAATTTAGAACGCCACATAACGGCTAAGCCCAAAAAGCATGCGGCCAGATACAAATTGCTTTTACCCATAATTCACTAATGAGAATATAAATACTCGTTAATCTCTTTTGTTCACACTATGCTAATTTCAGCATTGAAATTCTAATAATGCATGTCTTTCAATTCTCATATTTGCTAATGCATTTCGATACAACTAAATATTCTGGAATTTCCCTAATTAAATTTAGGATAGCTTCATTTCGTTTAGGCCATGCAGTTCAGCTACAAATGATTTCTCTTATAGATTCAGATTATAGATTTCATCACCTAAGAAACTACTGCCTTTTTAATCGCCGTAATTGTTCCTAAAAACGTTAAAACGAACCCCTTCAGCCACGCTAGATTAATTTTTTGTTTATTTTAGGGACCATTTCTTTGAGTGCCATTTTCACGAGGCCCACGTTTGGCTTTTGGCCATGCGGGCGTACCATTATCATTTGCAACGGTGTGCAAACGGCCACTTCAGTGCCAGTGTCAAGTGTTTGGCGTTTGCGTTTTATGACCTTTTTTTCGGCGCTGCTCTTTTGTTATATCCTGACCAGCTGCCGCTGAAAGCGGGCAATGAGCCAAGTTAGTGGATGGGTATCAAGGGATGAGCGAACCGCACCGGTGAATTAGTCATAATTGAAATGCACTTAAGCTCTATCACACACAGTGTTGCCTACTTTCGTGCGCTCCCCTCGAAAGTTGTTCCTTCTACATTTGCATTGCGTTTAATGCAATTTTAAATTGGCAAGTTCTGTTTAACTTCCCTGACAGGCGAACACTTCTGTGCATTAAGCATGGAGCGGAATACACTCGACGTATTTAAGTGGATTTCGAGCACTTACGTATACGCGATGCAGGAGAACCATCACATTACGTATACG